GTCATGGTATAATCAGAAAATACCCAATAAAATAGAAGTGAAGATAGAGATGCTGGGCTTTGAGCTCTTATTGCTAAATTTAAGCTAATAATTGATTTTTCCCATTTTTTCACCTATCTGACATGTCTTGTCCTAAATGCTTTAAATCAGCCTCATTAAGAATATTGTAACAAGGTCAAGTGCACAGTGCTGGGAGGTGGGAAAATGCATTAAAAAACTCAAATAGCAGCAAATTAGGAACCTCTGGATAGTCCTGTGGCATAATTGAAAACCCACCAGGGAAGACCTCATTTTTTATTTCTGAAAAGCCTCATTAAGAGCATTCTCAGCTGATCTCAGCAGTCATCTCCTGAGGTCCCACAGGACAGGAGGTTTCTGCCAGGGACTCTCCCAGGCAGGGTCTGCAGGGCAGCCACCAAGGTCCAGGCACTGACCCACCTGCTCTGGGTGGTCCTTTGAGGTTCTCCAGTTTCTTGAGCTAAGAAATGAGGTTTTTATCCTCATTTTTTAGGGAGGGAAACGGTGAACATCAGGAAACAACTGGATGGGGCTGTGTCCATGGGGTCACAGACTGGTTTGGGTTGGAAGGGACCTCAAAGCCCATCCAGGGACACCTTCCACTGTCCCAGGCTGTTCCAAGCCTCATCAAAGATTGAGCTCAATGACTTTGGAGTTCTCCAAATTTAATGAATTCTGTAATCCATGTCTGCATCAATCACCTGCATCTGCCTGATTTCCATGGGGGAAATCCACCCCACACAGCCCAAAGTTTGGCTTTCCAATCTTTCATCTTCCTGAGAACCCAGCATCCATTTGCCATTGGCTTTTATGTTTAAAAATGGATCACTGGGATTAATAAACACAGCGTGCTCTACTAAACTTTTATAGATTTTAATGTGAAACTAATAAAAGGTGCCGCTGGAAAAAGCTGCACTTGAAAAGCCATTTCATAAAAAAATCTTGTAAAAATTCTGTCAGGCATTAAAATCTCACTTCCTAAAAGGGAATGAAATACAACAGGAGGGATTTGACTCCAAGGTACCCCAGTTTGAGGACATGTAGCAAAAACCCCATGTGATTTAAGGTTCATGGGTATTGGGAAAACAAAACATTTCTTAGAGAACAACAATTCAGCTCGTTGAGCTTCAAAAATACTATTTTACTATTTTTTTTACTCAATATAAGCCAAATGTACAACTCTTCAAATAGAAAATGTACCAGCTCCCTCTAATACTTTGTTTTATGCCTTGTGAGCATCTTGTTAGCACTCACCGACTGCTCCTAAAATATATTTTTACTCCCAGTGGCTCCAGCTGAAAGGTTTAAGCCCTGCCAAGGGTTGTACAACAAGATTTACGAAGAAAGAGGAGCTGTTTGTGATAATTGACTGGAATATTTATGAAGCTGAGGCCTCAGGTCTTTCAAGGCTCTGTTGGTCAAGGAAATTCTGCTCTGTATTTATGGCACTGAGGGTTCTAAAACTAAAAACAAAAACTCCTGGGAGCTGCTGCTGGGATTCCACCAGCCTGGAGCAAAGGAGGCTCAGGGGGCCCTTGTGGCTCTGCACAACTCCCTGCCAGGAGGGGACAGCCAGGGGATGTCAGGCTCTGCTCCCAAGGAACAGGGACAGGACAAGGGGAAATGGCCTCAAATTGCACCAGAAGAGGTTTAGGCTGGATACTGGGAAAAAATTCCTTTACAGAAAGAGCTGTCAAACATTGGACTGACTGGCCAGGGCAGAGGTGGAGTCCCTGTCCAAGGGACTGGGAGCAGTGGGAGCTATGGGAGAGGGTACTGGAGAAGGACTTCAAACAGTTTGGGCATGTAGGAAGGCAGAAAAAAGCAAAAAAAAAATTGGGAATTGCCTCAAACATTTTTACATTTAGAGCAAGTTATGTCAGCCTGTGGTAAAACCACGAGACAGAGGCTGAAGTATAAACTTATCTCTTCTTAAATTGAGTTGTTGACAGCTTGTCAGAAGAAAAATTGTTGTAACTTCCCAACGTGGTGAAGTTGGCTGTAAATTCCAAGGAGGAAAACAGATCTGTGCATTTCATCCCTTAAATAACATCCTCATGTTTCCATTGGTGTGGTGGCATGTCACCCTGATTTTTTCAGTTTTTCTAAGCTTTCTATGTTTACGTTCTTGTAACCAACTTTCTCACACACTTTATGTAAATAACAAATTGTTTTGTGTTCTTTTATAGAGGAGGAAAATTTGGTAGGCTGTTGGTTTGTCCAGTGTCATTGGAGAGGTGGCACTGTCACCCTCCCATCCCCTGTCATTTTTGGAAATCTATAAATGTTAGAGTCAGAAATTCAAAAACTCTCTTTTACTTTGCATGTCCGCGCTGTGTTATTTCACGTCCTATAGTGATACTGGCACACCTGGGAACATTTAGGAAACTGGATTTTTGTTGCCACCTAATTCCACTGCAGGGCTAAGGAGCTGAAAAGGGCACACGAGGTCTCCTGCTGGAACTTTTGGCCCTTTTCCACAGCCAAGGATATCCCGAGGGCTCCCAAATCCTCTCCTCTTGGGTTTCCGCGGGCCCCTGCAGCAGCTGTGCCCTTTGTGCAGGTGCCCTGGCATGGAGGGAGCTGGCACCTGCCAGGGGGTGGCACAGAGCTGGGGCTGGAGGGGATCAGGAGTGCCCGGGGGAATGAGGGAGCAGCCGGGGCCATGGAGCGCCCGGGGAACGAGGGCAGCTCCACGGATGAGGAACGCGGATTTTCGGGAAGCAGCTGCGAGGAGGAGGAGGAGGAGGAAGGGGAGGAAGGCCAGGGAGTGTCCGAGTCAGTGCTTTCCTCTCCTCCCTGGGGTCACAGGGGGTGGTGGGGCACTGCCAGGAATTGATTAATTAATTAATTAATTGATTGTCAATATGTTCTGTCTTACACATTACAATTCTAATATCTGCTTAGTGCTGTGCCGTTGAAATAATTACTTGTATTTAATGCACTTGTAGTAATTAAACTACCTGTTTTTTTACCATTTTTTACCATTTTTACTATTTTTTACATGTTTTTTTATCATTTAATGCAGTATCTTCACTTGTCATTGCACTGGTAGTAGTTACTTTTGCCTTTAAAGCTGTGCATTTACTGGGAGTAACCTCTGCATTTAATATTTTGCACTGGTAGTAATTACTTGTTTCATGTATTTACCAGTAATTAGTTTTTCATTTAATGCTGTGCACTGGGAGTAATTACCTCTGGTTTTAATGCTCTGCATTTGTAGTAGTTACTGTTTCAGTTAATACCATGATTATTTGTTGCATTTAATGCCCTGCACTGGTAGTAACTTCTGTATTCAATGTCTTGCACTTTAGTGGTTACTTTTCCCTTCAATGCTCTGCATTTACCAGTAGTAACTTCTGGGTTTAATGCTTTGCACTTGCAGTAATTATTACATTTAGTGCTGTGCCCTTACAGTAATTACTCCTGCATTTGGTGCAGTTCACGTGTAGTAATTACTTCTTGCAATTAACGCCATGCACCTGTAGTAATTCCTTCTGCATTTAAAGCTGTGCACTTCCTAGTGGTTAATTTTCCACTGAATGCTGTGCACTGGTAGGAATTACTCTTGGACTTGTAGTAATTACTCGTTGCACCTAATAGCATGCACCTGCAATAGCAACTCCTGCACTGAACTCTGTGCACTTGTAGTAATTATTTGTTGTGTTTAATGCCACCTGCTTGGAACAGTTGCTCTCTCATTTAGTGCTGGGCACTTGCTGGTGGTTGCTCTTGCCTTTAATCCCCTCTTAGTAATTTCTTTCCCAATTAATGCCTTGCACTTGGAGCTTTTCATGCCATGCACTTCCAAGGTTTCATTGGCCTTTAATGCCACGGATTTCTGTACCTGCCTGTGCTGCAGCTGCTGGCCAAAGTCACCTTCTAGAAAAGGATGGGTTAATAGAAGTTAGCAGAAATTACAACAGTCCCTTCTGCATCTGAATACCTCATTTCCAATTTTATCGAAAATGTTGGAGCTGAAGCCACCAATTTGATTGTGTTTTCTCCTGGTCTGTAATCATCTAAGTATAAAGCAGTAAGCAAATCATGTCTGTGATCCATAAATTTACAGGGATAAATGTCTTTTTGTGGCATCTGGGATAATAGGACAAATGTGTTGAGTTTTAATGGGAATTAGTGGACACCAACAAGTTTGGATTCTCATTTTAATGGATCAATATATTGTCAAAAGCTGGCTACAGCAACTTAATGAGGAATTCAATATTATCCTTCCTTATCCTCTCTGTATTTACCCAAGTTTTAGGAGTTAATAGAGATCATTATCCACTTCTGTTCCACTACTTCTTTCTCATTGCTTTAAATTAGCACAATGTGTTTTATCAGTGGGGTTAATTAGCACGAATACACACTTAATTCCAGTCCAAATAGACTCAGAGTCAGCATTACAGCACAGGCTGGAGTATTAATGTATTTCTGCTTGCTCTGCTCTAAAGGTATGAACATGAAGAAATTAAAGTTAATTAATGATGACCTCAAAGGGAGAGTGCATGTGCATCACCCTTTTTTAACCATATTCCTGCTTTAATACCTCCAGTCTTTAAATGGGAATTTCTTTTTCTAACAGCACCTGTAAATCTGATTTTCTGCCTCAGTGGAAGCCTAGAGTGGTGTTCCAGCCTAAATGAATGAGGGGTGTGCAAAAGAGGGGTGTAAGTGACTGTAATCCACTTAACCTTGGGACATGGAAAGGTTGGAGGAAATTGGGATAAAGTGAGCCCAGAAAATGCAGCACTGACTCTTAAACACTGGAACAGCAAACCGACCTGATTAAAATGAATTAAATTGATTATTTTTATTAGTCTTTGAATGCTAGTCTTTTATTAGCCTAAATGGATGATGAAAACAGCAAGGAAAAGCTGTGAGAGCCAGAAATTTGTCCTCAAAGTGCTTGAAGAACCCTGTGTGTTGGAAATCAGAAGATTGTCATGGAAATAACTGGAGAAATGTGTTTTTTCTTGCAGGGAGGATGTCAGGACAGCCAACGTCATTGCAGCCGAAGCGGTCACCTGTCTGGTCATAGACAGAGAGTAAGTTCCTCCTTCTGCCTGGGGCTGGGGGAACCTCCCTCTTAAACCTTTTCCAGAGCTTCATGAGAGCCTTGGATCATCTTCTCCAGAGTGGCTTCTTAATTTGGGATGATAAAGTCACAGACTTGATGAGTGGAGGGAAGGTGCCCCTAAATCAGTGAGACAAAACTCAATAGTGACAATTACAGAACTCAACAGTGACCATTAAGAAACTCAATAGTGACAATTAGAAAACTCAACAGTGACCATTACAAAACTCAATAGTGACTATCAGAATCACAGAAAGTCCAAATTGAAATAAAGGAGAAGCTGGAATTACTGTGGGAATTCCACAGCATTTGCTCCTGGCACGTGTTGGAGCAAGGCGTTATCCCAGTCCGTGTGGGGATGGAGAGTGCTTGGGAGAAGGCCACAGCCCTGCTGGGAGCTCTGTCACTCAGAGGAGATGCAGGAGATCAGGAGAGTAAAATAATAATTTATACAGGAAGCTTGAGAGTATTAAGGGGGGTTAATCCAGAAAAAACTGTGCCTGGAAGCTCCAGTGCTGCAAATCCAGCTGCTCTCTGCAGTTACTGGGAATGGGATTAAAAAAATGACATAAAAATGGAACATAATTCCTGGGCTGGTTTTCCTGTTGTGCAGCTCTGGCACAGACCAGAACAAGACATGGACACTCCCAAGATGATGGGAATCTTTCCATGGGAATGTGCTAAGGATCTGTGAAACCCACAGAGAGGGGGAACAGGTGTTGACTTTTCACTGCCTCCCCCCATGCAGGAGCCCCAAGAAACCTGCAGGAGGGAGCCAGAAACTGTGGAATAATGAGAAAAAAATGCTGATGTTGGAAAGGAAAATAAACCCATTGGATTTTTGAAGTATGTAGGACCCACGTGTGGGCTTGGAGCTTTTAGAACAGTGTGGATTGTTGGGATGTCTGGGCAGGAGCTGGATCCATGATCCCTGTGGATCTCTAGAAGTGATTCTGGAGCCCCTCTTGTGTTCTGGTGGGAGATGGGATTCTGTGCTCCTTTAGGGCTGATCTCCATCCCCTCAGTCCTGCTGGAACACCAGTGGTTTGTGTTATCTCACAAGCCACCATTTCTGTAAATCCAGTGTTCTGTACAGGCTGAGCTGGGGAAAACCTTCAGAAATCCTGATAAGTTCTGATTTATGTTAATTCTTAATTGCAAAACCCATGGTCTGTCCATTGAACACAGGTGGGGAACACCTGAGGGCTCCTTTCTCAGCCTCGTAGGTAAAACCTGCACCCTCCCTTCTCGTGCTGAGGGGCAAAGAGAAGAAGAATTTTATTATTTAGCATGATAATATTTTGATAATATTTTTGCTTTTAATAATTAGATAATTTAGCAATCATTAATTCAGGGAAATGAAAAGCAATGAATAATTTACACTTTTTTTTTTTACACTTTTGCAGAAGGTATTTTTGGTTTGCACTGTGAGAGTTAAAAACCCCAAATAATTCAAGTCACTCATTCCTGATAATTTCCCAAACTGTTCCTTTCCTTGTCTCCTGTGCCTTGTCCTCAGCATTCAGTGCCCTTGAAATAGTAAGGAAGTACAAGTTAAATTTAAACTGATGAAGCTGTGGTTAATCTACCTCAGAGATTCTATTAACACTGTGCAATTAGCAGAGTAACACTATTTTAAAAATTCTTATTTATAGGGCAAGAAAAGTGACCCTATTGATAGCCCTATTTATAGCTCAGAGCAGGCTGTCCTGTGTCCTGGCCAGGGCTGAATTTCATGTCCCAGCTCTTCCTAAGGCTGTTATTTTATAGGAATGACAACAGCAGGAGCATCATTTCATGTGGAGATAAACTCCCAGGACTTGTGGCAATTTGGGAAATTGGCTGAGGAAAAAAGAACCAATTTTTTATATCCAGACAGAGCAAATTTTTACATCTTTTGGGTTGTGGTGGTGGATGAGAACGTTGAGTGACACGGGAGGCGGCAGTGGGAGCAGGGAGTGGGTGTTCCCTGCAGCTGGAATTTGTTCCATGCAGCAGGAGGGGTGACACAAGTCACTGAGGCTGCCAAATATTTTCCTTTTCCCAGACAAGCTCTTTGCCTAATCAGATGGAACCACTGAAGCAGCAATTTCCATGCTCTGTGGGTGTCCCCATCTGAAGCAGCTCAGCAAAACTGGTGCTGCAGTTTCAAAAAAACAAGTGGTGGGAAAAGACCTTTTCCTTAACACATGGGATTCCTGGAGAATTCCAGCCTCACTGACCAGTATCACCCACTGGAATTATCTACAGCAGGGCAACTCTTCCCAATTCCTTGTGGAAGGCTTCCCAAGGCATCCGAAAATTGTTCCAGCTGCCACATCTCATTAACAAAGTCAATCACACCTTGGTGCCACAGGAAGTTATTCCTAAGGGAGGCATGAGCCTGGCTCTGGATTTGCCAATTTTTCCAGCAGCTTTAGGGCTGGTTTGGCTACTGCAGGGTTTGTAGTTTGGGGGTAAATAATAGGGGAAAATCATCACAGGGATGAGCCAGGAACTGTGGGCAAATTGGGTTGGAGAAGGGAATTGCTGAAGTTGGGTTGGAGAAGGGAATTGCTGAAGTTGGGTTGGAGAAGGGAATTGCTTAAGTTGGGTTGGCTCTGGATTTGCCAATTTTTCCAGCAATTTTAGGGCTGGTTTAGCTGCTGCAGGGTTTGTAGTTTAGGGGTGAATAATGTGGGAATCTTTCATCACAGGGATGAGCCAGGAGCTCTGGGCAAGTTGGGTTGGAGAAGGGAATTGCTTAAGCATGGCAGGAGGGAATGCTTTGCCCAAAAGGATCTCTGGAATTTAAAAAATATGTATAAAATGGCTACAGGGCTGAAGCAGCAGGAGTGGGAAATACCGTGAGGGAAGTCAAACTGGAGCTCATGATGGGTCTTTAATTACTAGATGTTGTTGGTGCTGCCTTGCTTTTTAATTTCCTTGTGGAACAAGAGGGCTCTTCCAGCCTCAAAAACACCCCAAAGACTCCCAAAAAGTAGTACAGCTATTTTTGCCTATCTAGGAAGATGTGCTTTGCAAAATGCATTTCCAGCATCCTTTTCTGGCATAGGAATGAGCAAAATCCTGATCTAACAGTGAAAGCAACCTGCAGGAAGCAGGTCCCATGGACTTTGTTCCCACTTGTCCTTGTCCTGAAAATATTTGTCACAAAAAGTATTGGCATTTTTTCCCATCTTGCAGTTGTGTTTTCAAGTCCCTTCCTTTACTGGAATAATGAATTTCAGTGGGATTTGGTCCTTAATGCTCTTAATCCTTCCCTGTGAGGGTGGGGAGGCCCTGGCACAGATTCCCAGAGAAGCTGTGGATGCCTCTGGATCTCTGCAAGTGTCCAAGACCAGGCTGGATGGGGCTTGGAGCACCCTGGGATAGTGGAAGGTGTCCCTGCCCATGGCACTGGATGGGCTTTAAGGTCCCTTCCAACTCAAACTTTTCTAGGAATTCTATGGTTCCCATTGGGAGCACCATTCATTTTGGTCCCCCAAGGAAGGAAGACGAAAATATGTGTAGTCTTACCTGGTCAGGTGTATTTGAAAGAAAGAACTTGGAATTCAGAAAGGAAACATTCCAAGGAATTTCCCATTCTCGTAAAAATTTCAACACAGAAGAGGAGGTACAGTAATCCAGTGGAGAAGAGGAAGTGGGAGGGTGCCAAGGGTGAGGAAATGAGGTGGCAGCCCTGTGAGGGAGCACAGCAAGGCTCCATGCTCAAGCTCTCGGGTGAGTTGGGATTGATTCAGCCAATGTTCTTCCTGCCATGGAGCACAGACCCAACCATGGGCTTAGGGAATTGGCTTGGAAACTTCAACAAACTCCACACAGCATTCATGTGAATTGTGACAAAAAAGGCCAGCTGGATATCTGATCATCTGAGGGAATTTGGAGAAGGCTTTGGGTACTTGAGGAGCCACGCAGCTCATTGCAGCCCCACCATTTCCTGCTGCTCAAACCTCCACTCTGGGAACACACATTCATATTTCACAGCACCTCTCAGATGGTTTTAAGGCATTTTTATTTCCAAGTGCTTTTTTTTTAACATTTATTTACAATTCATGGACTTTCTGTCTTTAGGACTTGCCTTGACCCTACAAGATCAAGGCTGTTGTTAATGAAGTTTTTCCTGTGGTGGCACTGCAGGAATTCATCCTCTGGGAAAAAAGTTACTCTGGGAGCTGCTCAATGGTGCTGCCTCCAAATTGTTCTGAGCTTGGCCTTGTCAGAGCTCATCCTGGTGAATTTCCAGGCTCCTTGGAGGCGTTATTAGATTTGTTCCAGAAGTACAGTTGGGGAGAAGTTAACAAATACGTGCTGGATTTGACGGATTGGCCCTTTAGGAACTTGTCTGTAAAAGGTCTTCTGATAAAAATGGTGCAGACATGCCTTGAGCATCTGTTCTGTGGATCAGTTTGAATAAAGATGCACAGACAGACTTCACTTGTAGCCCCTTTGTATGGAGAGAAAACAGGAGGGAAAGGCTCCAAACTCATTCCTGACGTTTGGATCATCACTGGCACCCTCAGGTACAAGTTGGTGCCACTCTATAATTCTTTTTTTTTTTCCCACCTACCTACCTCTTGAAACTGTGAAAGTGTTTGAAAGTGTTTGTGGCTGCTCCTGAACTGTCGGAATATTTACACTGAGGTTGATCCAGGTTCATCTTTTATTTATATGGGATTTTTTTCCCCTCAATATAATTTATTTATGGTGCCAACAACGTTTTCCTGGAGCTCGGAGATTTAGCAGCACTGTGGGTGTTGGGAGGACAAAATTGCCTCATGCAAATGGAGAGAGAGAGGAGCTGATGGATCAGAGCCAGAACAACTCAAAGCCCAGCTGCTGCTGACAGAGAGTTACAGAATTACCTGGAATTTACTCCAAATGCTGTTTTTCCAGATTCTTGTCTTCTTCAGCTGCACATATCAAGAAGATGCACGTTTTTTTAAGGAAACATTTTAAATATTTCAGCTATTTTCTGCTTTTCCACTTTGCATTTCCTATTTTTGTCTGTTTCAAAGCCTGGGTTTGATTTTTTTTTTTCAGGGAGGGCTGTGAGGTGTCAACAAAGGGTATTGGTTCGGCCCTCCTGGCAAGGGAAATTGGAGAAAAATGAAATAAAAAAGTATTATCCTGGCATGACTGACCCCATATGAGCTGAGCCGAGCTCTTTCAGTGGAGATTTTAGGGTTTGCTGCTCTGCTGTTTCTCCCAGTCAGAGCAAAGTTTATCCATGGAGAAAATTGGTTATGAGGAGAGAATAGAAAGAACGAAGAGAAAAGGCCAGGGGGAGAAAGAAACCCGAGCAGTTTCTGATTGAATTCTGGGACTGAGCTGAGACTTCAACAATGTTGAGATGGGCAATAAAAAAGGGACTCAAGTGAACTTTGATAGCTTGCCCAGTGCTAAATCTGGCTTAAAATTTTTAATAAAAATTAAGGGGTTTAGAGAAACTGTTGTCGCTCCTTTCAGTGACTTTTTCTTCTTTTTTGTTTCACTAGAATAGATTTATTTGCATTGCCAAAAAAAAAAAGGTATTTTTAACCCTGCCACATTTTCCTAAGCCAATCAAGCCTAAATCACAATATAGGGCTTAGGTAATGTCTTATGGCCTTCCAGGATGGTGTTACTGTGTTAATTAATTGCCTAAATACCTGTTTGGGATGCAATAAGGCATTAACACCCCAGTCCTGCTTTTGTCTCACTGTCACTTTCCAAGGTTTGGCTTCATCCTGTGGCACATTCCCAGCAGCAGGAAGATAAAACCTGAGGTGCTGAAGGAGCTGAGATATTCCTGTTTTCACTGCTGAGCAAGGAATTTGGGGTTGAAAAGTTACTCCCATTATTAACACATCCTAATATTAAAAATATTAGTAATTACCAGATTGGTTAAAAACCACTAACATGAGTTTACGTGAGGGCAAAGGGTTTGTGCCTTCTCTTCCTCATTAATGAATTAATTAATTTGCTTGCAAAAATGATTTTCTTGATTGTGTTATTTAAAATGTAATGAATTAAGTGGAGTGGAAGACTGGGGAAATTGGTGTGGGCAGAGGGCATTTCCTGAGCTGTTATTCCCAGCAGAGAATCCCAGGATGGGTCAGTTTGGAAGGGCCCATAGTGGCACCTCCCTGCTCCAGCAGGGCCAGAGCACAGGGTTGTGTGCACACAGCTCTGGAATAGCCCCAGGAAGGAGAATTCCTCAGGAAAAGCCCTTCCAGCAGCTCCAGATCCAAACCAGCTCTCCCAGTTGTCACCTCCTGCCCCACAGTGATGGGGAAAATGCAGCTTTTTCCAACAGGATAATTGTGCCTCCCTAGGTTCTGCCCGAAGTGCTGTCTCCACACATGCAGGGGGTGCATTCCATGGGGTCAGGCATCTCCTGAAGGACCCTCTCAGGACTGTCAGTGTGTCTGAGCCACCCAGGGTCCCATCATTCCTGTCCCAGGAACACTGAGTATCCCAGCTCACCCCATGCCTGGCAGGACATTGCATTTCCCCAGCTGCCCTGGCTTTTCCTCACCTGCTCAGTGCCATTCATTCTCTTTGATCCTACAAATCCTCCTTGAGAAAGGGCCATATTAAACATCCCCTTCTTATTCCTTATGTCAGAAATGTGGCTTTTTCTTTTATTTTTTTTCAGTCAACTTGGAGCAATTCCTTTTCTTGAGCTCCGTGTTTCGTGCCTCAAGAGTGTCAGGAGCACAGAAGAATTGCAGGGTTTTCATTTGTGAGGCTGTGACATTGAGGCAGAGATCAGTCAAGAGACTCTGGTTTGCAGCAGTTCATCTTTTCAAATTCTTCTTCCTTGAAAAAAAAAGAAAACCTGTGTGGCACAGACCCAGACTGGGAATACTGGAATTGGATAGTAGAAAGTAGCTTTTCACCTGGAATATTTTTGTTTCAAGGCATTCACTGATTTCAGTTATTAATTTCTGGTTTTTCATGGAATCCCAGAATGGTTTGGGATGGAAGGGATATTAAGGATCATCCAGTTCCACCCCTTGCCAAGGTCAGGGACACCTTCCACTGTCCCAGGCTGCTCCCAGCCCCAGTGTCCAGCCTGGCCTTGGGCACTGCCAGGGATGCAGGGGCAGCCCCAGCTGCTCTGGGCACCCTGTGCCAGGGCCTGCCCACCCTGCCAGGGAACAATTCCTCATTCCCAATATCCTGAATTCCCTCTCCTTCAGTTTGAACCCCCTTTGACATGTTTTTGGATTCTCTTTCTCTAAAGATGAGAAAGCTGGGATCCAGAAGTGAACATTTCACTTTGGAAGCAGAGGGATTTACAGGGTTCCTGGTTGGAGGACAGGGATGTGATTGTTGAGGTGCCCCCACCAGCCACATTTACTCTGAAACTTCTGCTGGAGGGTGAAAACCTTCAGCAGCCATTTCAGTGGGCTGGATAAATAATTTTGGATCTTCTTGGCATTGGTTTCTGCATCTCCAGCATTTCTGAGATCTGGGCCTGCTGGGTCACCAGCATCAAGATCCAGCCCTGCTTGCTGCCAAAAGGCCACACTGGATTTCTTGGCTCCCAGGTGGAATCTGTTCAGGTTCAGTGGTGGACCTGGTGGGACTGGATGATCTTCAGGGTATTTTCCAACCTTGGTGTTTCTGTGATTTTCCTCTCAAAGTGTCCCTTTGTCTTTACAGCTCCTTCAAGCACCTGATCGGGGGCCTGGACGATGTCTCCAACAAAGCCTATGAGGATGCAGAAGCAAAAGCAAAGTAAGTGCTCAGCATCAGGTGAGGTCAAACTTCTGGTTTTTGATGGTGCACCTCTGGAATTCCCAAAAAAACCCCTCCTTGTTCTCCATGCAATAGTACCAAAGAGCTTAAAAAGGAGAGATTCCTCCTGTGGATGGAGGAATTTTCTTCCTCATGTCTCCCTGGTTCTCCCCATGAATATGGAGATGGGTCTCCTCTGGTCAGTGCCCAAAGCCAGGTGGTCCCAAGGTCCTGCTCAATCACAATATTTGAATCCAGAAATCCTCTTGAAATATTGAGGTGAGAAATATATTGTGATGTGAGAAACTCTAGATCTTGGAATTGCAGTTGAGGGAATTGTCGTTGAGGCAATTGTTGTTGAGGGAATTGTTGTTGAAGGCATTTCATTTCTTTAGAGAGCTCTGACCTTTCTCAAATACCTTCCAAAGTCAAACTTGTTCTGAGACAAAGGATGGGCAGTGGAATTTGTCATTTGAGGATAAAAACTAGAGCTGCCTTGATGTGAAGCAATATATTCATCTGAGGTCCACAATAAATATTCATCCCTTTCAGAGGGGAGCTGTAGATTATTAGATTAAAATATTTTTAAAACCCCCACTTTTTATTAATTCTTGAGCTGCAATTTGATTTTAATCTGTAATCTTTGAGCTCTGATTCTATCCCAATGATTAAAGCTTTTCAAGAGGATCCTGTTCTTCTTTGGGAGATGCTCAATATCAACCAAACACAATTGAAAGGCAGAAGTTGTTGAAAAGAAAATTAAATTTGCTCTATACAAATTTTCTTTACTTTTCCTCCCTCTCAATTATTTTGCTTTTATGGGGATTTTTTCCATAGCAGATGAAAGAAGGGGGGGAAGTGTTTTCTCAAAGTCAAATGCTCTGAGTGACTGCTTAAATTGCAGATTCCAATGGGGTTATACATAGAAACTTCTCATTAAACCACAGGGGTTGGAATGGTGTCTGCTGAAGGTATTGGGCACCTCTGTGGAGGGAAGTGAGAATTCCCAGTTAAGTATTGATTAAAAATAACTCTTGGTCTGTTTCAGAAACTAAGATCCATCTCAAAAGTCTTCAGTTCATAAGCAAAACTTGTTAATCCTGCAAAATACCCATAGATAATTTCTCTTTTCTTATATTTGAGTGATGTTTGAAATATCTAATTGATTTTAAGGTATCTAAAGGGTTGCATTTTAGATTGGTATAATATTTCCCTGCCTCAGATCAAATGTGAGCTTCCTTCTTATAAAGAGTTCCATGAAAAAGGTAGAATTCCCTAAATTCTTGTTGACCCAATTAAAAAAGTGGGAGACTATCAACAACCATCCCCAAAAAAAGGGGATTTGGGGTGTTGAATGATAGATAGATGATCCCAAACATCACATGGTCATTCAATTATTATTTTATATTAATTTTTGAGTGTTCCAATTTGGGTTATATTGATTTCCACTGGAGCAGAAGGGAAGAAAACATTGGGAATAACACTGGGGAATTTTGGGTTCGGTCATAAACAATGTCATGGTCACAGAAGGTTTTTGAAGGTGCCACCACAACCCATTAGCACCAAGAAAAATGTGCCCTTCCCACTTGTATAATTTGAAGCTCTAATTTGAGTATTTGTCATCCCAGGAACATTGGGGATGCAGGTTGAGGAGATTTTGAGGGTAGTTCAGGGAATTTTAGGATCTGCTGTACAATGTAGGGGAAGCTGCAGTTTGGGACCTCTTTGGAAGAAACTTTTCCTTTTGGGAGCCACTGGGTTTTGACCTTCACATTTTTGACCCTTCATCTTCTCCACTCCTTTCCTCCTAATGCCAAGTGTTTCATCCCAATGGAAGGGCAGGGCCCTGCTGATGGAGGAATTGTTCCCTAAAAGGCTGAACCAAATTTTCATAACACCTTCTTTGTCTTCAAAGTCAGAGGCCCATGCTGGAGCCCTGTCACTGCAGAGTGGGGGTGACAGTGACATTATTGTCACATCTTGACATTTTGCCTCAGAGCAGGAGGGATCAGTGTTGTCTGCCTGGAAAAACATCCAAGAAAAAGGAATGCCCTATTGAAAAATAGAGCATTGAGCAGTTAAATTCCATATTCCTGTTTGCTGGGCTCCTTGAAAGCCAGCAGAAAGATGGATAGAGGAGGGAAAAATTGTAACGTTCCTTGGGGAGAGAGCCCAGAAGAATTGTGAGCCCTTCCAGAAAGTTTTGGTGTTCCAGAGTTACCTCTCAAGGCAAAACTCCTTGGGAGAAAAGTCTCCTTGGCAGCAAGTTTAACCTGGATTCCTCTGCAAGCAGCAGTTAATTAGCTCCAGCTAATTGTCCTTCAAGGGCCTATTTTTTCCAAGGGGAGGTTTGTGGTAGGGAAGAACTGGGAACATAAAACGTGGGCAGGTTTGTGAGGCTTTATGCAAATCCCATGGAATGTTTTTGCTTGTCTTTTTTTAGCTCCCATCTCCTTTTCAGAGCTCACTGCCAGCTGGGAAAAGGCCTTGGGATGCCTCCTGTGGATCAAATGGATCAGGATGACCAAGGGCAGCTTGGGCAGGATTGGTGTAGTGGGAGGTGGAAGGGGTTGGAACCAGATGGGCTTTGAGGTGCCTTCCAACCCAAACCATTTTAGGACTGTAAATGCCTACAAAATTAGTGGCACTGGGGTTTTTCTCCCCATTTCCATGCTGGAGCACATCCCTGGAGTCACAGAGCTCAGGGCATGGCTGAGAGGATGTTAGGCAGAAGTTACAGGCTTGAAATATCTTTCCATGTATCCATCTGTCCTCCAGGCCTGGAGGAGCTGAGCTATTTATTGAGTTTATTCTTATTTTAGAGGCGTTTTCCTGCTTTTTGTCAGCTTGGGGTTGGCAGTTCCCTTTAATGTCCATCCTTGGTGTTCCCTCTCTTAAATCAGCAATTGCAGACACGTCATCTGTGAGACCAAGATTTTAATTGTAGGCTATGATTTTAATTATAGGATTGTGCAGACTATAATATGAATTATAATATTCTACTCCTTGAATGTATTCAAATGACTTAATGAATTAATTAACTAATGGATATTATAGTTGCCTCCTAAAAAGGGAAGGAGAGAGGCAAATTTGCTTCATGCTCTGAGGAAATGGGAGTCTAGAAGACTCCCAGTGTCCCAGTGCCAGGGGCCCAGCCACGGTGGCATTTAGGGCATGAAGGAGATGCCCAAATCATCAGGATTATCTCAGTGTAGGTTGCTTCCAGATGGAGCCACTCCAGCAGCTTCCATAAATCCAGGAGGACACAGGAGGGTGGCTTCTGCTGCAGCTGGTGGTGCCAAGTGGGGCGAGGTTCAGTGACCCCCTTTGCTCAGGGCACACCAATCCCTCCTGCTGGGCTCTTCCCAACCCAGGAACTCTTGGCATTGATCCTGTGCAATTATTGGACCCTTATCAAGGCTGGAGAGGTTCCTCTCTAGCTGGTGGCTCCTTTCCATGGCAGTGCTGTGGCACAGCCACACCACTGAGGTGTCCCTTGCCACCCAGCTGGGACAGCTGGCCCTGCCTGGTGTGCCCAGCCGAGCACAGCCCCCAGAGGCACTGTCCCAGTGCTCCCACCACATTCCCAGCTGGCTCCCAGTGCCCATCTCCTGTGGCAGCAGGGCTTGGGATTGATCCCCAGCTGAAGCCTTGGTGCCTTGAGAAGGCTGCCCTAGAGCAGAGGCCAGACAGAGCTAAAGAATAAAGCAGGGATTTATTAAAATGATCTCCTTCATGGATCCACCTTGGGCAGCACAAGAGCCCAGCCAGGGCTGCACCCAAGGTGAACCAAAATGGTCACAAAATGGACACCTGGTCACAGGGTCGTCACTTTGATCAGTTCTGCTCCATTTGCATATTGGAGTTAATTGCCCAATTACTGCTTTAGGTTATGAAATCCCATCCTGCTTGCTTTTCTCTCTCAGCCCACGGTGTTTGTGCTCTTGGGCCTGAGATTTGGATCATTTGTCCTTGGTCCCCAGCTAGAGCAGGAATTGTTTTGTCTCCCTGCTCTGTGAAGAGAGCTCACCATCCCTTAATGTGAAGCTCAGACCCACACACTAAAGCAGCACAGAATGTGAAAAATATAAAAGCTGAAACCTGAGGCATCAGAATAACCAACAAACCTTAAAATACTTCACAGCTTGGCTTGGCCATGCTGTGTATTTGTATTTTAAGCAGGACAAAGAGTTTGTTGGGTTGGGAGGTGACAACTTTGCCTCCTGCTGCCATTTTCTTCCAATCCAAAACACCCATGGAAGGAGCTTGGGGAAGAGTTAAAGCAAATGGATCCACCTTGGGCAGCACAAGAGCCCAGCCAGGGCTGTACCCAAGGTGAACCAAAATGGTCACAAAATGGACACCTGGTCATGGGGTCTCTCATTTTAATAAGTTCTGCTCTATTTGCATGTTGGAGTTAATAGTCCAATTCCAGCTTCAGGTTATGCAGTCCCATCCTTCTCATTTTTCTCTCTTCACCATTGTTTATACTTTTTGGCCTGGAGCTTGTAACAGTTGTCCTTGGTCTCAAGTTGGAGAAGGATTGTTTTGTCTAACTACCCTGTGAAGAGAACTTGCTAACACTCCATATGAAGCTCAGAGTTACACACTAAAGCAGCACAGAATCTGAAAAATATGAAAGCTACAACTTAAGGCATCAGCCTGGACTCTGGTGCCTTCACGCTGTTGCTCCAAGCTCTCTGCAGGTAGAGGTTGTTCTGCACTTCTCCCTTGTTTTGTTTCCCATCCCAGCTGAATGGCAGCCCTGGGGGAATGTCTGGATACTCACAGCCAAAATCAGCTGCTTTTCCCAGAGCTTGAGGGGACAGGGACCTTTATTTAGTGTATGATGCCTTTCCATGTCCTTGCAGCCCCAGGGCCCTTCATCTTTCTGGAGCTGTGTTTTAATGAAGAGCTTCATTAACAGTTGGACTCAGAGATCTGAGAGCTCTATTCCAACCTGAATGATTCTGTTCAAACCTTTTGTTTCAGTCCCCTTT